AATTTAATGTACATCTAATCACGATTACCCGAGCCAAATAAGAATGCTGAGAGTACAATAATTTAATGAGTCCTATTCTCCCTTTTGCAGAGCTTATGATTTTTTTTTTTGCTTTCGCTAGTAAAGACGCGATTATTTATTAACTAATGAGGCAATATAAGCATGGAGGATACAGCTTTGGATATTCTATTAACAGGGATGATTATCAATGTTTTATTAATTTTACTCTTGAGTTTATCGTTTATTTTTGGACGTAGGTCTCCACTTGATGATATGAGTTTGGTAGCTGAGGCCACGATTCTTGCACTTGGTGCTGGGTAAAAAATTTGTTACTGTAATTTTGCTGATTTTATTTGCATGATAACGCTTTCACTTATCATAACATTTGTCGCTATTTATTTTTAGGAAAAAAGGGCTTTTCTGAGATTGTATATTAATTTTAAGAAATTGGTGAAAGGAACAAATTTTATAGAAAAATCTATCACGTTTAAAAAATTCATGGAGAATTAAATTCGATTTTTCTATGAATATATATTTTTTTTATTTATGTATATTTATGTTTTATTGTGGGATCTTCAGTTCTTATGCATGAAGACATTAAATGGGAAGTTCTAGCGCACGAGAGATTCTGTTGGATGGAAAAGTTGGATATCTCTTGGTGCAAGCGCTAGAATATTTTATTCAATTTTTTTTTTCATTATTATTTATTTGATATTTTAGCACGGCCGTGCTGGGCCCAACAGTCGAAGCCAACGAGCCGCTAGTGAACCAAACCGAGACAGTGTAAATCAGTTTATCCTGAATGTTTTATACAATACCTCAACGAGAATATTTTGTCATTGGATGTAAACGCGTGCTGTAATTAGTCCATGACTTGTTCACGAGGATAAAAAATTTCTTCGCGATAGAAAAAAAATTATCTCGACATGAATCCAAATTTTGAGATTCATTAAAAAATATTTGCCTATTTGTTTCTTGAGATGGAAAAATTTTTATTACCCTTTGCTGTTTTTTCATGATTTTACTAATAATTGTGAAATTTTCTACTGCCATGATGCAATAAGTTTTAATTAAAGGCACGTACACTGCAGCATTAAGATTTTTTAAATCTAATTCGAAAGAGTTCCATC